GGAAGGAAGGAAGGAAGGAAGGAAGGAAGGAAGGAAGGAAGGAGGGAGGGAAGAGAGGGAGGGAAGGGGAGCGAAGGGAAGGGAAGGGAAGGGAATCCTAGAATTTCAGAGCTGGAAAGGACAGTATAGATCATCACCTCCAGCCCTTTATTACAAGTGGCAGGCATATAGGCCATTTTCACCATCTTTTTAAAAATGTTTTAAGCATTAAGAAATAGAACAACATCTGCTGATTACAAGTGACAGGCAAATAGGCTATTTGCTCCATCTCTCTTTAAATGATGATGATGCTCCTCATCAACATCATAGCATGCCATCTAGTTATTAGGGACATGACTATTTCACTGGAATCAATGACATGTAGGTACTTAACTGTGCATTTATGCTCTGATTTCATCGCAGTTTGGGAGCCCAAAAACCCTGCCCCTCCTGGGGAGGGAGGGCAGCCAACCTCTGTCTGAGAAAGTGTGTGCCTGCACATCTGCAGCTCGCCTCTGGGCTGGGCTGGAGAGGATGGCCATGCCCTTGAGGATTTCCAGGTGAGTGCCTGGGCAGATGAAATTCAATGGGAAAACAGAATCAAAGGAGAAGGACTATTGGCAAGCTAGAGAGTGAAAATCAAAGTCCAGCTGAAATGCTCTTCGCTGCTGATGCAGCGTTTCTTGCCCATTCTACTGAAGACCTCCAACAACTCATGAATTGTTTTAACAAGGCCTGCCAAGACTTTGGACTAACAATCAGCCTCAAGAAAACTCATGTCATGGGCCAGGGTGTGGACTCACCTCCCTCCATTACCATCTCCACACAAGAATTCGAGGTTGTTCATGATTTTGTGTACCTTGGCTCAACGATCTCTGACAGTCTCTCCCTAGATGTCAAGATAGATAAATATATTGGCAAAGCAGCTGCCATGTTCTCTAGACTCACAAAGAGAATATGGCTTAATAAGAAACTGATGGCATATACCAAGATCCAGGTCGATAGAGTCTGTGTCCTTAGCACACTCCTGTACTGAAGTGAGTCCTGGACCCTTTGTGCATGGCAGGAGAGGAAGCTTAACACATTCCTTATGTGTTGTCTCTGATGCATTTTTGGTATCACCTGTCAGGACAAAGTTCCAAACAGAGTAGTCCTAGAATGAGCTGGAATTTTTAGCATGTATACATTACTGAAACAGTGATGTCTACATTGGCTTGGGCATGTCGTGAGAATGGCTGATCGTTGGATTCCAAAAGATCTCCTATATGGAGAATTAGTGCAGGGAAGTAGCCCCAGAGGGAGACCACAGCTGTGATACATGCATTTCCTTGGCTTTTTGTATCCCAACAGTTTTCCTCTCCTTTTATCAGGTGCCTTCACACAAGTGGTCCTCACTCAGTTAGATCCTGTTGAGAAAAATCTTGGGCAGTCCCACAAACTAAGTTGTAGATTAACAGAGTTTGACATCAATAGCTATTGGATCCAATGGGTCTGGCAGAAATGCCTCTTTTAGAATTGCTGCTCAAGGTGACAGTGTGCTGTCTTGAAGTGGGTGGAACCTGGTCTTCCTCGAGGAAGAACATCTTTGGCATCTTCAGGCAAGCCCCCTTTTTAATGACACCCACTGATAAGATGGAAAACAGATGCAAATCTGGCTTCCACCTCAACAGAGTTTAAAGATTCATTGAAGACCCAGATCTACTACTGTTCTGCAGAAAGACATTTCTCTTAAACTTCACAATGAAGCTCTCCTTTCTTGTCCTTTTGCTTGCCTTATTCTCAGCTTCAGTGTGTGAGTATCCTACAGATCAATGCAATGGCTGAACCATGGCTGAAGTCAATATTTCATTAATCAGTGCTTTGTCCTCCACCTTAGGTGTCCACGCCAACGTTCAGCTTGTGGAATCCGGACCAGGAACGCTCAAGCCTGGGCAATCACTCAGACTCGCCTGCAAAATATCTGGGGATTCTGTGAAGAGCAACTACTGGCATTGGGTCCGCCAGGCTGCAGGAAAGGGACTGGAATGGGTGGGACGGATCGTCTGGAGTAGCAACACATGGCATATATTCTACCTGCCATCTCTCCAAAGCCGAGCCACCCTCTCTGCCGATTCCTCCAAGAACGAGTATTATCTCGAGCTGAGGTCCCTGACAGCTGCCGACACAGCCGTGTATTACTGTGCCCGAGAATCACAGTGAGACAAAGCAAAAGAGGAGCTGTACAAAAAGAGGAAGCCAATGCCTGCTGGTGCTTCACCATTCAGAGTTTAAGCATTAAACTCAGTTACAATCAGTGCAGGCTTTATCTTGCTTCACATTAGGGGTTAACATATCTATGCAGGCTGTATTGAGTTTGAGGCAAGTCAAAAGAGTGCCAGAATATCTGGTTTCAGTTGTCGGCATGGCTTATTTTTTAGCCCTTTGTCTGAAAACTATGCATGTCCTTGGGGATTGGGGCAACCCTAGAGAATTTTCCCCAAGTCTCTCTATTGTCAAAAGACAGTTCTCTTTATCTACCATGGCCTGGTAGGTAGAAGGCAAAGAAAGGCTTGAGGCATGCCCAAACACAAACAGAAATCCTTTCCCAACATCTTGATCTTGAGTGCTGAGCTGTGTGTAATTGCAAAGACCACTTAACCAATCCAGCCTCCTAGAGTAGCAGTCTTGGAATTGACTTTTCTGCTTATCAATATAATGGATGTGAATACTCTGGGATCACAACACATCCCTGAAAAGCACCTTGATTTCATCTGCGACAGAAAGGCATCATAGAAGTGCAATGGAAGGAAGGAAGGAAGGAAGGAAGGAAGGAAGGAAGGAATGCAAAAACCTTGCAGGGTCTTCCAGGTTGAGAAAACTGAGAAGTGGTTGACCTTTTGCTTTTTATGGGGCCATCTGGGAGTTTGCAGCTTGCCCACGGCTGCACAGATTGGCTTTTCTGGGATACACAGTGGAGGAATTGAATTGCTCGCCATACCTAATTTACTGAAGGAAGGAAGGAAGGAAGGAAGGAAGGAAGGAAGGAAGGAAGGAAGGAAGGAATGCAAAAACCTTGCAGGGTCTTCCAGGTTGAGAAAACTGAGAAGTGGTTGACCTTTTGCTTTTTATGGGGCCATCTGGGAGTTTGCAGCTTGCCCACGGCTGCACAGATTGGCTTTTCTGGGATACACAGTGGAGGAATTGAATTGCTCGCCATACCTAATTTACTAAGCTAACACAGCAGACTAAATGTAAGGATGGGGGAAAGAAATGGTCCAGAGACTATAAATGTCTCTCTATTGGCATGTTTGAAAAAGGCGACATCTGGGCTTTGAAGGGAATCCCAGCTTTGAGTTCTTTCTTGGGGCAGAAACACCTCTGGCATCACCCCCTTTTTAAATGCCACCCACTGATGAAATGGAAACCAGATGCAAATCCAGATTCCATGTAAACACAGTTTAAAGATCCAATGCGAATACAAATCTACCACTGTTCCAAAGAGAACGGTCTCTCTTAACACCACAATGAAGCTCTCTTTTTCCTTTATCTTTCTTGCCTTATTCTCAGCTCCAAAGGGTGAGTATCCTAGAGATCAATGCAAAGCATGACCCAGGGCTCAAAGGAATATTTGATTAATCAATGCTCTGTCATCAACCTTAGGTGTCCACGCCAACGTTCGGCTCATGGAATCTGGGCCCTGAAACTTGGGCAATCACTCAAACTCACCTGCCCAGTCACAGGGGAGTCTGTGAAGAACAACTGGTGGGTCCAGGAAAGGGACTGTACTGGGCGGGACAGATCAACTGGAGTAGCAACACATGGTGTGCATACTGTGCACCATCTCTCCAAAACTGAGCCACCCTCTCTGATGCTGCCTCAAAGAATATTATCTTGAACTAAGGTCCCTGACAATTCTACCATGTATTACTGTTTCAGGAGACACAATGAGACAGAGCAAAAAAAGAAAAAAAAGACCTGTACAAAAAGAGGAATCAGTTTCCTACAGGTGCTTCACCCTCTAGAGCAGTGGTCCTCAACCTTGGGCCTCCAGATGTTCTTGGACTACAACTCCCAGAAGCCTTCACCACCACCTCTGCTGGCCAGGATTTCTGGGAGCTGAAGTCCAAGAACATCTGGAGGCCCAAGTTTGGGGACCACTGCACTAGAGGGTCTGTGCCTTTATTATGAGAGCAATATTGGTGGCATTTTTCTCAGGTATTCTTGTTAAGCAAAGAAGTGTTCTCCAATGGGCTTTGATGGTGCCACATAATGCAGACCATCTGTTCACTACCAAAATGAGGTGACCAGCATTCTTATTTTATTTATTTGACTTCTACACCACCCATCTAGCTGGCAAGGTTTGGGGGTTTTTAATATTAAACAAACATGTCATCAGAGAACAATTTAAAACTATGAAGATAAGAGTTACAAAATCAAAATTAAACCCCGACACAGCAACAGAATTTAACTGATCATAATTAAAATAATATAAATGCAAGGTGGCAAGACCGATTAGATACATGTTAAGACCACCCCTGAATTAGGATGTTATGAGGTCTGGGAAGGCTCTGTTGTGTTGGGCAAATTCCTGAGTCTCTTTGAATTATTTGTTGAAACACACAGCTGGAATTTATGCCAACGGACTTACACTGCTATAATATGCTTTAGAATGCAATTAATTCTAAATGTGTAAATAAATGAAACAGCTAAAACTGCAGCATCACAGAGAGCTCAGCAATTTTATTTCGCAAGCCAGTCATTTCTATAATTTATGTTGAGCAAGACCATCCATTTAAAACATGTCTTTCCAAAAAATAAAGGTTGTTAATTGGAAAGCTAAGCTCTGTGTGGTCTCCCCTCACATATTTAGTACATGGGAGTTCAACCCTTGTGAACATATATTTCTGATTTACATCCCTTAATATTCCACTAGGATAATGGAGCCCATGACCTCGTGTGGTAATGAGCATTCCAATGAAATGAAAAAGCTGGACAATCACCTGCCAGATATTGTTTGATTTGGATTCCTGCCTTGAGCAGGGTCTTGGACTTGATGGCCTTACAGGCTCCTTCCAACTACATTATTCTATGGTTCTATATCATTTATTTATTAACTAATCTGTCCATGAGGGCTGATTGCCATATACTTTTAGCATTTTCCAGTGATAAGCAATGTCTAGTCTTGGTCTTCTGAGCAAAAGGGTAGTCAAATTTTAATTCAGTGTTTATTTAACTGAATTTTTTAGCTTCTCATCTAATTGTCAGGCCACTAATCTGGGCAGCTTGCAATGGGAGCATCAGCGACATAAGCAAAAATTCAATAATAATGACAAATTCAATAATAATGACAAAAGAAAAAAACTTTTTCCCAGTGAACATTGACAATAATACGAAAGTCCTACACCCACGTTTGTATTTTTTTAAAAATCAGATGCCATGTTTATAACTTCATTAAAGAGACTGGAATTAATGGCTGTTGTGGGTTTTTCGGGCTCTTTGGCCGTGTTCTGAAGGTTGTTCTTCCAAACGTTTCTCCAGCCAATGTAGACGTTGCTGTTTCAGTAATGTATACATGCTTAAAAATACCAGCTCTTTTCAAGGAACATTTGGAACATTGTCCTGCCAGGTGATACCAAGAATGCATCAGAGAAAGTTGGAAAAGATGCAGGCATCACTGGAGTTGTGATTCTAGAGATACACCAGAGGAAGGATGTCGATTGGATATCACGCCCCAGTTGTTCAAAAAAAGAAGCTCTGACACCATGACGACACCTTGCCGATTGGCCATCACGTGAGAACATTGGTGGAAACCTGATGGTTAGCCCTCATCCATGAAATCTAACAGACTGTATGATTTCATTAGTGGTCTATAAAGATATCACCTACTTCTACATTTCTATTGTGTAATTATGACATAGATCTATTTTATTTCAATGGTTACTTTTTAAAATTATTTCTCCTTATGAGGTGATCCTTGCTATTTAACTCTGGTCTCAGGAGGAGGATGTAGCACTTTGGGAAGAAGATGCAGCCCAGCAGACCAGCAGTGGAGGCTAAGATGGAGAAGATCTCCACAGCTACCATGTATTTCCCTTTGGTGCTCAGGTAGGTGGGGACAAACGAAACCCAAACACTGCAGAACACCAGCAAGCTGAAGGTGATGAACTTGGCTTCATTAAAACTATTGGGGAGCTTCCTGGCAAGGAAAGCCACCGTAAAGCTGACGGCAGAAAGAAGTCCCAGGTAGCCCAAGACCAAATAAAACATGATGGCGGACCCTTCATTGCATTCCACTATGATCTCCCCAGTTGTGCTATGCATATCCAAATCTGAGAATGGGGGAGAGAATGCTAACCACAACATGCATATCAATACCTGAACAGAGGAGCAGGAAAAGATAATTGAGTTGGCCAGCCTTTTCCCCACCCACTTTCTCACATTGGAGCCTGGTTTGGTAGCTATGAAAGCAACTATCACAGTGACAGTTTTGGCCAAGACAGAAGAAAGAGCTATGGAGAAGATGACTCCAAAAGCCATTTGTCGTAAAAGGCAGGTCAGAGAGTTAGGCTGGCCAAGGAAGAGGAAAGAACAGAGGGAACAGAGCAGGAGGGAGACCAGGAGAGAATAGGTGAGGTCCCGATTGTTGGCTTTGACAATGGGGGTGTCTCTGTGCTTGATAGAAATTCCAAGAACCAGCATTGTAATCAAGGAAACAGAAATAGCAATGATGGCTAAAGTGATCCCTAAAGGCTCTTCATAAGACAAGAAGTTTATTGTTTTGAAGACACAATGATCTTTGTTTTCACTTGGAAACTGATCATCTGGGCAATCGGAGCATGCTTCTGCATCTGGGAAAAAAAGAAAGGTGTTTCCTTATCATTACTTGTGTCGTAACAGGCATAGTAAAGCACTTGTGTAATTAAAAATATCATAACTTCAAGACTATTTTACCCAATATCACCAAATGTGGCACAAAACAAAATTCGGTTTCCTATTCATTCTGCAGCAAATTTTATGCAGATTCAAGGCGCAAATGAAATGTAATGATTTTGGGTCTAGCTTTGGGTGTGCAGGCCATCTCCATTTCTACTACTGGCTTTCAGAAGGTTCATTGACTCAGCCATGAAAATGTCACACTCATGCAGGTAGAATTAGCTTTATTAACCCTGCTTGCTAGATGCTTGGATGCCCTTAAACACACCTGGGCTATAAAGTGGGACCAAAATCATTGTAGGGCTGAACATCTTATCAGAAAATACATATTTCTGCGTAGGTTGCCTTCTGCCTCCTAGAAAACCATTTTTGAGTTTTGGGGACCTCTACTTGTAATCTCAGGACACAGCAGGCAGACATTGATTTCAATAGAAAAACTTTGGATTTCTGAAGCTTTTAAAAATGCTAACAAAAGTAATATACTTCTCTTTTTGTTTTTGTTCTTTAGTTCTTAGACAAGGCAAAGACTGACAGACTTACTGTAACTGCTACAAACAAATGCTCACCAATAAAGAATCATTTTTAGCTATAGATCCTAGTGATCATCTAACCATAATAATAAGCAATTTGCTTTATTAACCCTGCTTGATGGAAGGTCGGACACCAACTGACACACCTATTTCATTGGAAATCTTCCCTTCTGGGCATGGATTGCAACTGTAGCAGCAAAATTTCTTGTCTTCAATCTTTGTTTTCCAGTAGCCAGGATCACAAGGGTCACAGCAGGCAGAGATTGGAAGTGTCTGTCCATAAAGTTGAAGAGTTTGGGATGAGAAAAGTTAGGATCAGGAAAATGTTTCTTAACAGATGTACACAAAGCAACAGTCTTCAAAGGAGTAGCCATGTCATCTGTACGAGCATAGGAACACAAAACCTAAACTTAAAGCAAATAAACAGACATTTGCCACTCCACCCCAGAAGAATGATGCAAGATACAAAGTGTTAGGGTAAACCAGGGCCACGCTTTATTAATTCCAACAACAAAAAGGGCTTGCCGTAGTGCAGAACGAACATAACTGGGTCTCACTAGACCCTTTTCAGCACTGGGAGGTTGGATAAGCTATAACCTTACCTGTCCTCCCACTGGGACTCACCGATCCATCTTCATTCTGCAATATTTGCTAGCAAGACCAGTCCAATAAACACCATTCAGCAGCCCCACGTATTGACCAGTGTGAGACAGGTTAAAAATTCCTCACAGCTATAAGCCAATCAAAAAAGGGACGTGGCAGTGCTGCAGGTCAAACCACAGAAGCCTTTGTGTGCTGCAGGGTCAGAAGACCAAGCAGTCATCAGATCGAATCCACGCAATGGAGTGAGCTCGTGTCGCTTTGTCCCAGCTCCTCGCCAACCTAGCAGTTCGAAAGCATGCAAATGAGAGTAGATAAATAGGTACCACCTCGGTGGAAAAGTAAAACGGTGTTCCCTAGTCACTCTGGCCATGTGACAATGGAAACTGTCTTCGGACAAGCGCTGGCTCTACGGCTTGAAAATGGGATGAGCACCGCCCCCTAGAGTCAGACATGACTGGACTAAATGTCAAGGGGAACCTTTACCTATAAGCCAATCAAGCAGCGAGTCAAAAATTCCTATCCGGCTCCTGAAGGCAATCAGAGGAACTCACACTGGTTACATTTGCAAGCCTCGAAAGAGGCCAAAATGGGGGGGAGAGCACTCCTTTAAATGAGTGCTCACTCCCTCTCCCTTCTGGTCAATTTGCAAGACCTAGCTGTCTCCCGTTATTCTAGAGGGTGAGGCAAAGAGTCTCTGCCTGAAGAAACGTGCTGTCTGGCAGAGCGGCCATTTGATCGTTAGGATGCGCAACTCCCGTAACGACTACTAATTTAATTTTGCTTGTGTTTTGTCTGCCTTGAAAGAAACACCAACCACCTTGTAGATATGTACATGCTGAGCCTGGTGCATGCAGAAAACCTACTGTAGCATCCCATTGTATAGCTGACACATTCCTGAAGATCGCAGACAGCCCTTGTGCCATCCATTTTGTCTTTCATAGACTTTGTCACTGTACAAAAAGTGTGAGAACAACAAGGAAAAAAGATGTGCAAAGTGGTGCCTCTGTCACTCAAAAAAAGAACCATTCCCAAACAGATAACACAGGTGGCTTTTTCTTCTGTATCTGAAGAAGACCTGGTCCTTTTTCACCACATTGCACTTTGACCGAAACTATCAAATGGATTGAAACACCAAAACGGACAAAGATATTTGCTCATTAACATTACATTAGCTTTAACATTACATTACGTTACATTAGCTCTAACACCATGTTAGAGAATGCAATCAGGACATTAAGAATGATTTTGCAAAGAAATAGGTTTGACCCCAGAATCAGCTAGCCTGACAGTGGAGCGTCCAAACACTGAAGAATCCACACCTGGTTAAAGGTTGTGCTCCATTCAATTCCATCCTCTTGAATGAACACTTTCCCCCCATCGGCAGCACTGGGATCCACTCTTCCAATTTTTACTTTCTTCATAGAATTGTTCGGGAATAACATTATGCTCATGATATCGAATCCACCGACCAATTCCCCATGACTATCGAAAGACACTGTTTCTCCCACGGAATTGTTAATGGAAGTGGCTCGAAGAAAAGGATGAAGCTAGTGCGGTGAAGAAAAAGTAAAATAATATGAATAATAACCCAGAGGGCTTTTAGAGAACTGATTTTTTAAAACATAAGAAACTTTATTGAAAGACTTGGAAATCAAGCATTTCTCAAGCAAGCACCTGTTGAAATAAGATTTTGTGCCATCTTAGGGGAGAATGGAATTAATCTTCAGTTTTGCTCATAAAGGAACTGTGCTACTGCTTTATACTTCCTCTCTGGATTGTGTTGAAGTATATGGTGCTCTTCTTATTACTAATCTTAATATGAAGATTATGTATCCAAATGTGAACAATGATGTCATTGTGGACCCTGATATGTTTGATTTTGGAAGCAAACCGGAACATAGCATGGTTAATACTTAAATAGGAATTCATCAGGGAATATGATGGATTGACCAATAAGTCTATGGAAGAATCTTCCCTAAACACTGGATGGCTGCTGCCAAGGACTGTGGACAACACTACATTAAATATAACAATGGTATGACTCTGGAGATGTGGTGGTGCTGTGGGTTAAAATGCAGATTCCTCTGTGCTGCAAGGTCAGAAGACCAGCAGTCGTAAGATCAAATCCACATGACGGAGTGAGCTCCCGTTGGTTGTCCCAGCTCCTGCCAAGGTAGAAGTTTGAAAGCATGCAAGTAGAAGTAGATAAATAGGTACTACCTTGTTACCTGTGAAGGTAACGGCATTCCGTGTCTAGTCGCGCTGGCCACGTGACCACGGAAACTGTCTTAGGACAAATGCTGGCTCTACGGCTTGGAAATGGGAATGAGCACTGCACCTGAGAGTCGTAGATGACTGGACTTAATGTTAAGGGGAACCTTTACCTTACCTTGACTCAGCATAAGACAATTTCCTGTTTTCCTATATTGTATCTCCACTTTAAATTTTCTCACTGCTGTCTTTCATTGTTTTATATGCGGGTAGGACTGTGAAAATACAATCATGTTATGCCACAGAAGTTACCTGCCAAGGTTGAAGATTTTGACATTCATGTTTTTTAACACCCAATATTGTATTGCATTTGGCCCTAGACAAGTGCAGGGCATGTGCCACAGTGTAGACAGCATTGTAGATGCTATAGCTGTGGCCACTCATACTCATTTCAAAAACAGTTGTAGGGAGATTGTCTAGCTTCTCCTCTCCGGTGCACCATTTATTAGCTTCTGTTGGTTCATGGAGACCTAGAAATGAACACTCAAATGCTTGTTCCCAGAAGTCTCTGAGGAAAGCATCATTTTCTATATGGGTAGGTTTTATACTCTGAAGATGCTCCTGGAAACCTGAAGGTTCATGTGGGTGAATTGCAAAGGCGATGCTGTTTTTGAAAATTTCATAGCTTACTCTCCTTGTAAGTCCTGTAGCTATAAGGTCGATCTGGGCAATCATAACCCACAACTTTCCAAGATACACACTCTGCATCTCCAGAGGAACCATTAAATTCTGAAATGCAATTATCCACATAATGGCCATTGCATCCCCATATATAACAAATACTTTGGTTCTGTCATCCACGGGAGGCACATAAAAGTTATCATTCTTGCTATCAATTAAACGACCATGGTGTGGGAGTCTTTGTGTGAAGGATGAACACAATCCCTTGTCAGACAGCAATGGCTCCAGGACCTTCAAGAAATTATCTCCACTGTAATCATCGGGAGCGAAAAGGCCAATCCAGGTCCATCCAAAATGCTTCAGCAAATGGATTATGCCCATATACTGTTGGGATTCATTGGGGACCATGCGGTAGAAGGAAAGCATCTGTATTTTGTCATCCTCCTCTGGTGAAAATGATCCATATGCAAGCTGTAGGAAAACATACACCAATTTTAGATTAGAATCGTGTGGAAACCAGCTCATCATCTCTACCTCTCCCCTATCGGTTTTACTCCAAACATTCTGTGTCCATTTTTCATTTCATTTGGTACAATAAATATCAGTCAAAGCTTAGGCATCAATCAATGACATTCTCACCTCTGTTAGAACAACCAGATGACTTGGTATCTGAGAAAGAGGCAGTTTGACTCTAACATCAAGCTTGACCCCATGGCAAAAAGCCTCCCCCCCCCACTGCTCACTTCTTACCTGTGGAATCTTGTAAGATTGTAGAAGTTCTGCAATGTGGACGGAGATATCAGAGCTCAGTCCCCCAATAACGGCCTTCAGGTTTTTTTCTGTGCCACATTCGTAGTTGGGGAGGAATTGGTGTGATTTGGAAAGCAAATCTAGAACAGTCCGATAGGCCATCAACTCTAAGTAGTAGGTATCATAGATGCGAAATCCAAGGGTGATGTTGGGCAAGAGCTGAGGGTCCTCATTGACCTTCTTTATAGCATATGCCAGTGTCAGGACGCGCTGGTAGAACTTGGTCACCATGCTGCAAAAAGAATTTTTTGAGCTTTCACAGATAGAATCTACAAGGCAGATTTCTCGTAACGCTGGTTTACTCTGTCTTTGTACATAAACAAAGCTACATTTTCAAATGACCCTTTATAAAATAAATACACAACAACCATCATCATTATTATACTTTGCTTGGATTCCTGCCTTAATCAGAAGGTTGGACTCCACTGCCTACAGACCCCTTTCACCCTCGCTGTTCTACAATTCTGATCACTGTCATCTCATCACTTCTTTTTGCATTGTTCTTCTAAATGAGACACATCTCATTAATTTTAATAATAAGAAAAAGCTTCAAAAGTGGGAAGAGACAGAGAAGGACTAGAAAGCAAAGCAGTGTGTAAGAGAAAAGCAGCATTATAAAATAAAAGAAGTGACACACATTGAATATCCAGTAAAAAAAATTGTTTCATAATCTGAACAGTCTCTGCTGAATACAACACACTGCTGCTTGTTTTCTCACGTATGACTTTTGATGCCCAAACAGTTCTCAAATCTGAACCTGAAATCTTGTTAAACCAAAACACTTATTTTGTAACAATCAGACTTTTTTTGTGATGCAGACAGAAAATGGATATTATGAAGTCGGGATTAATTGACAGCTTGATATACAAAATCTGGGAAATAATTCATCTAAAGAGAAAGAATTTATTAGTGATGTTTTAGTGGATCTTCCTTCCTTCCTTCCTTCCTTCCTTCCTTCCATCCTTCCTTCCTTCCTTCCTTCCTTCCTTCCTTCCTTCCTTCCTATTCTAGTTGTATGTTTTTTCCTGCTTTGATCTAATCTTCTCCCTCATCTGTATTCTCAAAGTATATGTATTGTGTACCCTCTTAGTGAGGCAACTTTATTTTTTTTTCCTCACTCAAAAAGTTAGATATCCCTTCAATTATATTTCATGTCAAGAAAATATGCTATATTTATTATAAATAAGGAGAGGCAAAGACAGCTTCCCTTTCTAAGACAAAATGAAGAGAATGTTACCTCTCTTACTATAAAAAGAAGATGCACAGCCATACTGTAAACAAAAGAAAGAAAATTTTCAGAAGACTATGAAAGAAATATTTTGATTTGGGTATACAGGACACTTCCTTGTCTCTTGGAAATTCTATTCCATGCATTTTAAATTTCTTTGATTTTTCAACTGCAAATGCTCTACAATGATGAGCTCCTTACACTGGAAAATCAAGGCCCAAATCTTCAGCGGAAGGCTGGTTTTTGAAGGAGGGTTCATGAAACATACAAATAATATGAGAGACAATCCCACCAATGAGGAGGGACCCTGGCTGATACCATTCATGTGGGACAGGAACGGGGAGAGACGGATATGCAGGACATTTTGGGTGAAGTCTTTTGAGGGTTAGCAGCAGAAAGAAAGCATGGAGCCAAATGAGTCTCATCACTATAATGCTCTTCAGATCAGTTTCTTCAGCATACACCTGGCTGGCATCATTCAAAATCACAAAAATAAGCCTTGGATATTACTCTCCTTTGGACAAGCCTATCAGCCCAATTTTTTAGACCACATGGACAAAGTTAAGGAAGCATTCTTCGAGGAATAACAAACACACTTGGATTTAAAATCTATGTCATAGAGTAAAATTGGGGGTGAGGGGCTTCCAGATGCAAACGGACAGAGCCCTGCCTGGCTTTCACCCCCTCCCCGGCTCTGAATGGCAGAAGATGAGGTTTTTATAATGGCTTTCTGACTTCACTGCTGATTGTTTTCTGGAAGATCTTCTGCAAAACTGCTGGAGCTTTGGCCCACTGAACTAATTATACGATGATATGATAATTATAGGGAGAGAGAATTGTCTCTGCAGAGTTGTGGTTAGAGATGGAGACCAGGTGTGTTGTTGTGTACTCATTGGTGTATAAGCAGGTGGGAGACATATTTCAAGATGACCAGACTTTAAAAACATTTTGCAAATTTGGTCCCTTGGGAATAGTTAAAGGTAAAGGTTCCCCTTGACAATTTTTGTCCAGTCGTGTTTGACTCTAGGCTCATCCCCGTTTCCAAGCCATAGAGCCAGCATTTTGTCCAAAGACATTCTTCCGTGGTCACATGGCCAGTGCGACTTAGACACGGAACGCTGTTACCTTCCCACCGAGGTGGTCCCTATTTATCTAATTGCATTTGCATGCTTTCGAACCGCTAGGTTGGCGGGAGCTGGGACAAGCGACGGGCGCTCACTCCGTCGCGTGGATTCGATCTTACAGCTGAAGATCTACAGACCTTCCACCACAGAGGCTTCTGCGGTTTAACCCGCAGCGCCACCACATCCCGTGGGAATAGTTAGGCGTATGGAAAACACAGAGAGCTTGGAAAGAAACAGTCCTGAGAATTACTTTGTGTTTCACTCATGAAAAAAGAAGCCAAGTTCTGGAATTACCCACATTTGGTGGGCACCCACTCAGAGGTGGCACTTGGAGAAGACATGGTTGGGAACCACCAAAGACTTTTTTTGTCCAAAGGACAAACTGGCTTGAACCACCCAGTAATAATTAAAAAAATATTTTGTCCAAACTTTCCCAAACTTGGCACAGTGCAAAAGAACTGTTTGCTACAACTGTGCCAAATTTAGTGCTGATCTGAGTTTCAGACTTAAAATTTTTTTGTTTGGACTCCTCTCATTGTTAGAATTGCCCTGTAGAATGTTGATTCGGTCTGCTGCACAATACCATAGATGCACTCTTGTGCAACTGTAATATACCTACCTTGCATAGCACATTATCTAGTGTTGACTGTTGTCCTTCTCTGCTAGCAGGTGAATAAACACTGTGATCAAAGACCTAGCCATGAAACTTTTAAAAACATATGTGGACTTCACATGCTTATCTTTTTAGCAAACTAAGTTGATTTAAATACCAAAAAAAAAAATACAAGCAATGTACATACAAAAAATAAAAATCACTGTCATCTAAAGGAGAATTGGAATCTTTTTCTTCCCAGAAGTAACTGTAATCTTAATATATCAAGAGTTTTTCTTCCAAAGAAAAGTTGTTTATGCTCTTTTTACTAGCCAAATTTTTTAACCAAGGATAAATCAAACATGAGCAGTACAATCTTCTTATGTCAAAATCCACATGCCCCAAAGTAGAAGTAATATAAATTTATCTTTTATTTTATTTGGTGTACACTTTAATGGACTTCCCTTTCAGGGATTAAGGCCTTATTTCAATCGATGTCAGTGGGAGCTTCATGTTCAATTTCCACAGTGCCTCCAACATAGCTTTGTTCTGAGGAAATGTGGAAAATTTAAAAGGTCTGTCTGAGCTGCAGATATTTGGACCCCACTTACCTCTCACTCAAGGCCTATTGTGGTGTAGTGAACAAAGGATCACAGTAAAAACCAGGAGACATGGGTTCAGATCCCTGCACATCCATGGAAACTCACTGAAGGAAGTGGGTGGACAAAATATAAACCACTCCTTGAACAACTGAATCACCTTGAAACTTCTATGATGGGAGCTAGAAACTGGAAGTGACTTAATTGACTGCAAGGTAGCTAATGGGGCAGGAAGGCACTCCATCCCATTATATATGACAATAGTTTTTCTTTGCAAGAGACAGGCATGTGAAAATAGGCCTAGAGTCCAATGCTGCCAGAACACCAATGACGCAAAGTAAAGTAAGTTACAAATCTTGGGAACTGTGAATGTTTCATGTGCTGTCAATGGAGATATCTCATGTTAAACAGGTCATATGTTAAAAAATGTATTTATTTTTCCTCCAGCCTTGAATTAAGAACCATCTTTCCAATTTCACTACCTACCCAAGACGGACAGGCCATAGTAGAGATTTCAGACTAAACTCGATCTACCTGGAGCAAGAACCGGCAAGCCACTCCAGTACCTTTGCCAAAAAAAAAAAACCTCCATGGACAGAAACAAAAGGCTAAAAGATATGACGCTGGAAGATGAGCCCCTCAGATCAGAAGGCATCCAACATGCTACTGAGGAAGAGCAGAGGACAAGTACAAGCCGAAAGGATTTTATTGTCCTTATTGCTGGGCACCTAATTATGATGAAGATCACACAGAACAAGTAACAACATGGTTACATATTTTCATTCTTTCTTCTTATGAGATAATCCTTGCTATTTAACTCTGGTCTCAGCAGGATAATGTAGCACTTCGGGGAAAAGATGCAGCCCAGCAGACCAGCAGTGGAGGCTAAGATGGAGAAGATCTCCACAGCTACCATGTATTTCCCTTTGGTGCTCAGGTAGGTGGGGACAAATGAAACCCAAACACTGCAGAACACCAGCATGCTGAAGGTGATGAACTTGGCTTCATTAAAACTATTGGGGAGCTTCCTGGCAAGGAAAGCCACCGTAAAGCTGACGGCAGAAAGAAGTCCCAGGTAGCCCAAGACCAAATAAAACATGATGGCGGACCCTTCATTGCATTCCACTATGATCTCCCCAGTTGTGCTATGCATATCCAAATCTGAGAATGGGGGAGAGAATGCTAACCACAACATGCATATCAATACCTGAACAGAGGAGCAGGAAAAGATAATTGAGTTGGCCAGCCTTTTCCCCACCCACTTTCTCACATTGGAGCCTGGTTTGGTAGCTATGAAAGCAACTATCACAGTGACAGTTTTGGCCAAGACAGAAGAAACAGCTACGGAGAAGACGACTCCGAAAGTCGTTTGTCGTAAAAAGCAGGTCAGAGTGCTAGGCTGGCCAAGGAAGAGGAAAGAACAAAGGAAACAGAGCAGGAGGGAGACCAGGAGAGAATAGGTGAGGTCCCGATTGTTGGCTTTGACGATGGGGGTGTCTCGGTGCTTGATAAAAATTCCAAGAACACAAGCTGTGACCAGGAAAAAAGAAATAGCAATGCTGGCTAAAGTGATCCCTAAAGGCTCTTCGTAAGACAAGAAGGTTATTGTTTTGAGGACACAGTGGTCTTTGTTTTCACTTGGAAACTGATCATCTGGGCAATCGAAGCATGAATCTTTGTCTGAAAAAAAGAGGAAAAAAAACAATGTCTTGCAGCAGTTGAAATTGTTTCTAAATTTCTGAGTTTATATATGCAAAAGGAACCTATTTTCTAAATGTATGTTTGAAGTGGCACTTGTTGATATTATTCATTTTTTCCTATTGAACCTGTCCATTGAATTCCTCTTGAGAACATTAATGTTTCATTCATTACCTGTATTGCTATTTGTATTCATCATCACATGTCATTCACAGAAATTGATGCATAATCACAAATGCAAGCGGCAGCTCATTGTGAAGCAACAGCAACCATTTTTTCAGCCAGTTTGATACGGTGGTGTTTATACTATTGTAAATCGGTCTATGCTGTCTGAATAGGATTCAGGATGCTTTCATTAATGCAATCAAGGTATCAACAAATAACCAAGTGCTGGCTCAGACTCCATTGTATGTGTTCTCCAGGGATGTTAGTTGGCTTGTTGCCCATTTATTCTTTCCCTTTTCTGGTAAAGGTAAAAGGTTCCCCCTGACAATTTTTGTCCAGTCATGTTCGACTCTAGGGGGCGGTGCTCATCCCCGTTTCCAAGCCATAGAGCCAGCGTTTTCTCCAAAGACAGTCTTCCGTGGTCACATGGCCAGTGCGACTTAGACACGGAATGCTGTCACCTTCCCACCGAGGTGGTCCCTATTGATCTACTTGCATTTGCATGCTTTAGAACTGCTAGGTTGGCAGGAGCTGGGACAAGCGACGGGCGCTCACTCCGTCGCGTGGATTCGATCTTACAACTGCTGGTCTTCTGACCCTGCAGCACAGGCTTCTGCGGTTTAACCCACAGTACCACCACGTCCCTTTTCTGACAATCCAACAAATTCCCAGAGCGAACCAGCCCATCCCTGAAGTATTACTACCCATATCTTTCTGGATCCCTCTGAGGGATTATAAGGATTTTTAGTGCAAATAGGATTGATCCACTTTGGTTGGTTTCCGGCGCATACGACTGCTGGGATCAGACCAAAGCACAGCTTGTCCCTTTATGTTTACCTTCAACTTTCAGAATTTCCCAATACCATGATGTGATTTACAAAAGATAGGCTAGTTACTTCAAGCTATGCAATTAACCTCTTCCTCTGATCCTCCATAGCGGGGCAGTGGAAGAAAAACTGTTTTTTTAAAAGTCTGTTTCCACAGCCCTGATGCACTCACTGTGCTACTTATAAAAAAATGTGGGTTTATTTTTCTAAAAACTTCCTCCTAGAAGGAAGAGGAGAGAGAATTGGGCAAGTAGGTGGATTATTTACATTTCCTCATTCTAAATTTACCCAAATAGTAAATAAGACCAAATAGGTCTGCGGGGTACATATGCTAGAGAGGGACACGAATCAGAAAAAATGGTGAATTGTTTTGATTTGTGATTCATCATGCTAAACGAATCGTGAAAGACAAATTTATGACTTTTTGCCGACAAATTGACGAATCAATTCATTGGTTCATTTTTGCCTTTAGAATCCTATAAAATGGCCTCCCAAGCACCTAGATGCTCCGAAATTGCAGGGAATCTTCCCCTGATTCTCTTTTACAATCCCTCCAAGTCTGGCAAAATTGCTGAAGTTTGAGTTTCGGACATCTGAGTTATATACCCACAAGGAGGACACACACAGGAAAGTTTCCTCAGGGTAACTAGAGGGAGCAGAATCATAGAAAAGCTTCTGCTGACTCTCCCGTACAATCCCTCCAATTCCGGTGAAGACTGGGTTTCAGACATCCATGTTATACACCCCAAAAGTGCCTCCCCTGGAAAGCGCCCTTTATCAACAGGCTTGGGAAAATCCAATCGTCACCAAACTTATAGAGAAGAATCAGGGGAATTTTTGTGATTGTGATGTCTCTAGGTGTCTGGGAGGAACCTCCCTTGGGGGCCCTCTTATTGGGTGTATAATTCAGATATCTGAAACCCAATCTTAACCAAACTTGGAAAGATTGTAGGGGAATGTTAGGGGAAGAATCTCTGCAATTGTGACGTTTAAAGGGGCCATATGATTACCCAACAAGTTCACAAATAAAAAACACTAAAAATTCATTGATTTGTATTCATTGGGACATTGATTTGTACGAATACAAATAGATGAATCAGCAATTTTTAAATAAATTTGGTGATTCATTTTTAAAATTTGTTTCCATCTCTAATTTGGACACAAGATTTGGACACAAGATTTTCACCAAATGGATTTCCAGACTATACCTGATCTTAAGGAATCCTATTTAGCCCACTGCAACTAAGCCTGCATGTTGTTGTGTAGTCATTAAATCATGTCAGACACTTCATGACCCCATGGACCAGACAATCCTACACTCTCCTGTCTTCCACAACCTCCCGGAGTTGGTAGGTTCTCCTGTCTTCCACCACCTCCCGGAGTTCAGTCAACTTCATGTTGGTTGCTTCAATGACACTGTCCATCCATCTCGTCTTCTGTCATCCCCTTCTCTTGCCTTTACTCTTTCCCAGCATCTGGGTCTTTTCCGGGGAGTCTTCTCTTTTCATGAGATGGCCAAAGTATTGCAGCATCACCTTCTGTCCTTCCAGTTAGCAGGGTTGATTTCCTTTAGAATTTATAGGTTTGTTCTCCTTCAAGTCCAGGGGACTCTCAAGAGCCTCCTCCAGCACCACAATTCAAAAGCATCCATTCTTCAGGGGTCAGCTTTCTTTATGGTCCAGCTTTAACTTCCATACATCACTATTGGAAAAACTAGAGTACTCTAGATGAGATCTAATCATAGCTTTGACTATGCGGACCTTTGTCGGCAAGGTGGTCCACACTGTCAAAGGTTTTTGCATAGTAAATTAAGCAGAGTAGATCTTTTTCTGGAACTCTCTGGCTTTCTCTATAATCCAGCGCATGCTAGCAATTTGGTCTCTGTCTCCTCTGCCCCTTCAAAATCCAGCTTGTACTTCTGGGAGTTCTCAGTCCACATACCACTGAAGCCTGCCTTGGAGGATTTTGAGCGTAACCTTGTTAGTATGTGAAATGAGTGTAATTGTACAGTAGTTGGAGCTTTCTTTGGCACTGCCCTTCTTTGGGATTAGGATGTAGACTGATCTTTTCCAATCCTCTGGCCGCTGCTGAGTTTTCCAAACTTGCTGGCATATTGAGTGTACCACCTTAACAACATCACCTTTTAAGATTTTAATAGTTTGACTGGTATGCCATCACCTCCACTAGCCTTGTTGTTAGCCAAGCTTTCTAAAGCCCACTTAACTTCACTCTCCAGGATGTCCGGCTCAAGGTCAGCAACCACATTATCTGGGTTGTCCGGGATATCCAGATCTTTCTGATATAATTCCTTTGTGTATTCTTGCCACCTCTTCTTGATGTCTTCTGCTTCTGTGAGGTCCCTCCCATTATTGTCCTTTATCATGTCTATCTTTGCACAAAATGTTCCTTTGATATCTCCAATTTTCTTGAACAGAAGCCTGCATAGACAAGCCCTTTCTTTCTGTTTTTGCCTCCCCACCCTAAAAATCGAGTTATGAACAAGTCAAAAAGTCTCAGCCCAAAAAAAGATCTTTCTTGCAATCTGACATTATGAAATGTGAGATCCCCCAAAACTCATATCTTGTTAATTTGTTGACAAAATTAACATAGTGTTTGGAAAACTGTCATTCAAGAGAAATTTGGACAATCATTTGGCAGATATCCTTTGATATGTATTCCTGAATTGAGCAGGGGGGTCGACTCAATGGCTTTATAGGCCACAATCATTTATATCCTTTGATATGTATTCCTGAATTGAGCAGGGGGGTCGACTCAATGGCTTTATAGGCCACTTTCAACTTCATTATTCTCTTCATTGTCTGTCTGTCTGTCTCTTCTCACAGTCCTACCACCCTCAGAGGCCCATTTCATGGGGGCTCAAGAAAGTGCCTTCTTGGTGGACATGTCCAGGCTCTGAAACTCCTTGCCAAGAGACCCCGGTTTGCCCCCTCTCTGCCATCTTTCAGATTAGCTGATTAAGGACCAAAATCAAATAGCTGCTGAATATTTTCTCTGACATTTGTGGGTTTGTTTCTGCCTCCAAAAAAACAGTTTTGGTCCTTGTCAGTCCAGTTCAAAGCAGGCTACAAACATGAATTGATTTCAGAATGAAATGGTACAAATCCCAAAGTACTGATGAAAATTATTTTTCCTTCCTTCCTTCCTTCCTTCCACAAACATGAACTAATTTCAGAACAAAATGGTACAAATCCTGAAGTACTGACAAAGTCTGATGGAAATTATCCTTCCTTCCTTCCTTCCTTCCTTCCTTCCTTCCTTCCTTCCTTCAATTAATATTTTTTATTATTAGGAGGCACAGAATTTTGCAACTACTGCAAACAAATACTCCAAAATAAAAGGGGAAATGTTTTTTAACCTTAGATCCCCCTGAACATAGTAATAAACACTTATCTTCATTAATTCTCCTTGCTGGAAGGTTGGATGCCCCTTAACATACCTGTTTCATTGGAGATCTTCCCTTCTGGGCACGGCTCACAGGTATAGCAGCAAAACTTCTTCCCTTCTATCTTTCTTTTATGGTAACCAGGATCACAGTGTTCACAGCAGGCAGAGATGGGTCGCGTCTGTCCATAAAAAAATGGAAAAGTTTTGGATGAGACAGGATAGGATTGGGAAAATGTTCCTTCACACAAAGACAGACAGACAGACAGACAGACAGACAGACAGACACACACACACACACACACACAAAAGCTTAGTCTATATGAGCATTGGCAGCAAAAACCAAAAAAATTATTATTAAGATGTACGAACATGGTCAAACCATCGAAATGATTGCTAGTTTTATTTTGTTCCGGTGTTGTCTACCTATAAAGAAGCAGCAATCACTTTATAGATAAGCACTGATCCTGGTGCATGCATAAAACGTAACACCCCCTCTTAGAGCTGGAACCTTTCTAAATATAGCAGAAAGTACTTCTGACATCCATTTTCATGACATCCACTTCATCACCGAACAGAAAGTGATAAAACAACTGCAACAGAGAGTGATAAAATAACAATTCTTCTCAAACAGATGAAATGAAAGTCCTGTTGGGTGTCAGTAAGGAAGTTTTGTCTGGCACACAGTTATCTTTATCTGAAGAAAACCTGGTCCTTGTTCAAGAAGAGCTTGAAACCAACCTGCATGCTTCAGCTGCTTCGGTCTAAGAGCCTTACCTGGCCTCTACACCAGTGGTCCTCAAGCTTGGGCCTCCATATGTTCTTGGACTACAACTCCCAGAAGCCTTCACCACCACCTCTGCTGGCCAGGATTTCTGGGAGTTGAAGTCCAAGAACATGTGGAGGCCCAAGGTTGGGGACCACTGCTCTACACCATCCGCCATGTGACTTTGAGACACTAAAAACAGCACATACGTTTGGAACTGCCCACAAGAAACTGATGCACAGCTTCGAAGGAGATGATTTCTCATCAAAAGCTCACTGTTTCTTTTGTTTGTTTGCTTATATGTTCTTAATGGCCGATTAAAGGTATCACCTATTTCCTGCATTTGTATTATTTCCACAACCATGCGGCTTTATCCGAATTTTTCCTTGTCCTTGTTTGCCACATTGTATTTTGACAGAATTAACAAATTAATTCAGACACCGTGATGAGCAAAGGTATCCACTCAATGTAACACCTGCTTTTAATTTTGAACACAATAGCTAGCAGAGACCATGTGATATGAAACCATCAAAACACTTGCTTTCTTGCTTGCAAGAAAATAAGTTTGGGCCCAGAATCAGCTAGCTTGGCAGTGACGTTTCCTCCTCAAATACCAAAAAACTCACACCTGGTTAAAGGTTGCGCTCCATTGAATTAAATCCTCTTGAATGATCACTTTTTCCCCATCAGCAGCATTGGGATCCACCTTCCCAATTTTTATTTTACTCATAGAATTGTTTGGGAATACCATCATGTTCACGATATCAAATCCACCGACCAATTCCCCATGGCTATCAAAAGACACTGTTTCTCCCACGGAATTGTTAAAGGAAGTGGCTCGAAGAAAGGGATGAAGCTAGTGGGGGTGAGAAAATAAAAAGAAAATAAAAATGGAAAACGTATCTGGATTGAAGTGTTGATGTGAAAGCTTTCAGGAGCATACCACTCTATGAAGTCAGTGGGGACTTTGACCCACCAAAAGTTAACCTGAAATATTTGTGAATATTTTAAGTATTTTCTTTCTGCGTCTTCAAGACATTGTCACACATGGCAAACAATGACAATTGACCATCCTGTCACTTAAACATGGAACACAGACGAAACCTCATAAGCATCCATACCACTCTCTTAAGCTCCCAACACAAATTGTTCACACGCCATTTACAAGATGGGGCATTTGAATCACACTAGTAGATGGTATATAAGATGGATGGATGGATGGATGGATGGATGGATGGATGGATGGATGGATGCATGGATGCATGGATGGATTGGTGGAATTACTTTTTGCAACCAGACTTCTGATAGGGGAACTACAGTTGCATGATCACTTTTCCAGCCCACATTTAGATAACAAGATACCGGCCATAGTATTGTACAGGAATGGCATTTACCTTCATTTCTTCAATTCCCAGTTAGCTTTCTTGCCTTCTGTGGCAATATTATGACTACATTTTGGGCTTCCTTTTGTAGCCCAGGAATTGTGGTATGGGAGCAGAAATGCCATGTTTTGAATAAAATAAGAGCTTTTAATTTTTAATTATGACAACTGGGGAACTTGATAGATGGGCATAACATTACAGCTGGTGTGAAAAATGTAGGGTTGGAAAAATGCACTAGCTTGGCTTTGGCCTCTCTACATTTTATACACTTCAGGTTCACTCCAAATCAAATACACAGTTGATCAATTTTGAGAAAGTCTTTAAAACATGAGACTGAACAAACTGAAAACCTGGTGAAACTGAAACCGACAGTTTCATCTACTGAGGGCTTGTTAGTCTTCTACACGTAACACTTGTAGTTGTGAATCACTGTGTGCCCCACCATGTATGAGCTGAATTAGTGCTGCTACTTCTTTTGGAAAAGGCTCCTGGTGTTTAAGATGCCTATCACAGGTGGGTGAAACATGATTTAATGAATTTTAGTAGAATGGAAGACCTGCATTGGAGGACAATGGTTAAACATTCTTCAAGCAAGCAACCTATTGAAATAAGATTGCCTTCCTTCGAAGGAAAGACTAAATTAGATCTTCAGTTTTGCCTATAAAAGGACTGTGATGATACTTTAAACTTCCACTCTGTTCCCTTCTACATTACACAGTCTTGATGATGCTACTAATTTCAATGTTAATTTTGTTTCCAGTACTACACAGTTTCTCAACACCCATGTCCCATTGTTTTATAGGAACATTTGAATATAACCATATCATGCCACAAATATAATCATATCCTATACCTCCTGAACACTCATACAGCCCTAAAATCCAATTTTTGTTTGGTTTTGGAAGTGAAGTTCAGTGTGGCATGGGGAAAACTCAGAAAGGAATCCACCAGGCAAAAAGAAGAATTGTCAAACAAGGTTAGGAAACAACCCTCTCTAAGGCACTGAATAGCATGGACCATACTAGGTCAATTAGAGGAATCATCTTACAACTGCAGGAGGCACAGTGGGGAATAGAACTCCCAACCTCTGGCCCTACAGATACCTAAACCACAGAGCTATCCAGCTTGTAAGAATGGCTTCTTACAAGACAGATTCATGTCTTTCTGAAGGTTTACCCAGCTTAAATCTCTCCGACTTTGTGTTGAATATACAGACAGGATTCTGGACATAAAATCATATCAGTCTACAAATGGTACCTGCCAAGGTAGGGGGTTCTGACATCCATATCTTCTGACATTCATCGTTGTCCTACATTTAGCCCTAGACAAGTGCAGGGCGTGTGCCACAGTGTAGACAGCATTGTAGATGCTATAGCTGTGGCCACTCATGCTCTTTTCAAAAACAGTTGCAGGGAGATTGTCTACCTTCTCCTTCCCAGTGCATCGTTCATCAGCCTCCATTAAATCCTGGAGATCCGGAAGGGAACACTCAAAGACCTGCTCCCAGAAGCCTCTGAGGAAATCACCCCTTTGTATAGGGTCAGGTGTTATACTATCCACGTATTCCTGGAACTCTGGAGGTTCATGTGAGTGAACTGCAAATACTATGGTATCTTTCAATATTTCATGACTCAACCTCCTTGTAACACCTGTAGTTATTATGTCAAACTGGGCAGTCACCACCCACAGCTTTCCAAGATAAGCCGCTTCCTCCTCCTGAGGAACCATTAAATTGTGAAATGTGATTATCCACATGACAGCCATAGCGTCGCCAGACATCACGAACACTTTGGTTTTATCCATTGTGGCAGGAAGATTAAATTTATCACTCTGTCTATCAATGAGACGGCCATGGCGAGGGAGTCTTTGCGTGAAGGATGAACACAGTCCATTCTCAGACAGCATTGGCTCCAGGGCCTTCAAGAAATTATCTCCGCTGTCATCATCGGGAGCAAAAAGACCCACCCAGGTCCATCCAAAGTGCTTCAGCAAATGGATTATTCCCATATACTGTTGCGATTCATTAGGAACCATGTGGTAGAAAGGAAGCACCTGTATTTTGCCATCCTTCTCCGATGAAAACGAACCATATGCAAGCTAGAAGAAAACAGATAATTTAGATTAGAATAGCATGTTCATCGAAGCTACCAGAATGAATTTGACACAACTCCGAGAGGCAGTGGAAGAGAGGAGGGCCTGGCGTGCTCTGGTCCATGGGGTCACGAAGAGTCGGACATGACTAAACGACTAAACGAAATGAGCATGTTCTTGTACAATGACTATATAACAAATCCTTCTGCTCTTTAAACATAGTTCAAAGACTTGTTTGTAAGCTTGACAGGACAACATTTACTGGAAACAAGAATGATAGGGGACTGGAAACCAAGCACTATGAGGAAAGGCTGAAAGTCCTGGACATATTTAGCCTTGAGAAAAGAAGACCAAGGAGAGATAGGATAGCACTTTTCAAATCCTTGAAAGGCAATCATACAGAGGAGGGTCAGGTTCTGTTCTTGATCATCCCGCAGTATCCAGAGATTTAAAAATGGGCTCAAGATGCAGGAAGTCAGATTTCAGCTAAATATTAGGAAAAACTTCTTAACTATTAGAACAGTATGACAATGGAACCAATGACCTCGGGAGGTGGTGAGCACTCCAACACTGGAGGCAGTCAAGAGAAAATTGGACAACCATCTGTTAGATCTGCTTTGATTAGGATCCCTGAATTAAGCAGGGGGTTGAACTTGATGGCCATAGAAGTCCCTTTCTACACAACAATTCTATGATTTTATGGGGGGAGTCCCTTTGTACACAACAATTCTATGATTTTATGGGGGGGAAAATCTGTTTATCACCCCTTCTTTTGCCCTGTATTTCTTCTTCCATAATTTCCAGAAATCATTTCCAGAAAACATCAGACAAAGCTTAGGATTCAGTCAATCACATCTCTTCCTCCTTTAAAACAGACAACCCACCCACTGT